TGGACATCACTTCCATATCCTAGTGCTCTCAGCATCAGACCTACTTCCTCTGGAGTGAGTGGGCATCTTCCTTGTCTCCTTTGCCTGTCAGGATTTGTTTTCTGCAAATTATAAAAAATAAAAATAATAAAAAAAATTGTCTTTTATTTTTAATTTCAATAGCACCAAATGAATACTGAAGTCCAACATAGATTTAGAAGTTATGACAGTTGAGCCTTACATGTAAAGTTTTCCACCTCCTACGAATTGCACCTAATTCATTCCTTTCCTTTTCACCTCCACCATAATCACATCCTGAGAATGCAAGCATATCTGGTTCAAACCTATAACATATTGCTGCATCAGTACTTATCTCATATTTGTTGAATTTTGCGTGAAAAAGCTTGTTATACAATTATAATTCAGTCATTCACCATAGTGGGTACACATGCCATTATCTTGCAGAATATGGGTTGAAGGCTTGCTTAAAAGATCATGCTTGACAAACTTATTAATAGCACATATGTATCAACTCAGTGGTGATCCTGTGATTTGTGATGTGCCATGAAATAAAGAAATTAGATTCAAAGCATTTAGTTACAGAGGTATATTTGTAATTTTGCACATTTCCATCATCCATGAACATGAGCATTGGTAAAGCCATGTGATGGTGGATATCTACAAAAACAGGAGCAAATACTGTGGGACTTACCTCAAGTGCAGGGCAATATAATGCTTGCTTCTCATCCTCATCCGATTTACAAGCATTTTACCCATTTGAAGAATAGGGTCAGTGAACCTCAAAGCATGGTAGTTAACCCTACATCTTAACTTCTGCAAGTCTGTATCTAGTTTGTTTGCAAGTCTGTAATCAAACTTCGTGAGCTGTATGGCCTGTTTTACAATATATGAAGGGGAGCATCTACATTAATATTAAGGTCAAGAAGATAGGAAAAGGAAAAAGGGGATAGAGAAAGGCCAAAACGAGGCATACTAACTAAAGCAAAGTATACCACATTTGAAATTGATCAGAGAAAAGTTTTAAAGGACAGGAAACTTACATGCCTTTTCTGAAGAACAGGCAATACACGATTTTGGTAACATCTTTCACTACATTTCCTTGGAACACGCATGGTGTGTGGAATCCAAGCTTTCCCTCCCCTTCTAGGGAGCTGCTTTATAATTTTAATATCTTTTGACAGAAATGATATGAACCAATCAATATCAAAGATCTCTCTGAAGTCACTGTGCATGGCAGTAAGAATTTATAAGAACTTACACAAGTACTTTCTCCACTTAGTTTTGATATATATAGATATTGCAACTTCAAATTGCAGAGGCAGCACAAACATGAGTTCATTCAAAGACTTACCTTGAATCCTTCCAAAATGACTTTGGGTCCAGCTTTGGAACAACAAGAGTAGCATTCAAAATACGGGCAGCAATAACAGCATCTACAATCTGCCAAAGGCTTTTATTGTAAGCTTGACGCTGATAACAAAAATCTTAAAAAAAGAAAAAAATACTGCATAACAGTATCAATATAGAAACAACACTAACCCAATCATTGCTCATAAGATAAACGTGGATATACATGGTAACAGACAACTCAAAGCAGTGTTCTAAGGAAAGGAACAGGTTGGAGCATGACAGTCAACTATAAAGCTTTCCATTTCCATGGACTGAAGGGCAGTGTGCAAGGTGCCAGGCAGTGAGCAATCCCAATATTACCAAGTTTGTAACAGAATGTAGTTTGTTGATTTCATTAAATCCTATTTACTAGAGTTTATATCTCACTTGCAACCCCACCCCCCCCCCATAAAAAAAAGAGGAAAAAAGGAGAAAAAGAAAAATAGTATCTGGTTCTGTATAGGCTCATTTGATGATATGAAGATTATGTTGAGTTCCACTATCATGGGCCCTGTAAATCCTTAGAATGAGAAAGGTAGCCTTAAATGCCGACTTCTAATCAAAGAATTCAATGCTTCTTGAAAATATAATTATATATTGATCCAGTACACACAAGTGCAACGCAAGGAAGCTCAGGAAGTTACCCCAGTTCTTTGTTGATTCAAGCCTCCACTAGTCGCAATTGCCAAGAATCTATTGGCATGTGTAACAGCTTCAGCCTCTGCAACATGATCAATGCATTTCAAATCAAAACAAGAATTCCACTAAGCAGGAACAAACAGCAAACCATTAATTTATTAATCTTTTCCACCTATGCCAGTCTGAAGAAGGAGAAAAATCCCAAATTTCACCAGCAAGCATACCTAGTAAAAATTGAAGTTTTCTAAACCAATTCTAACTTGCTACAACTATACAATCAAAGCGCCAAAAAAGGAAAAATAAATCTGTACTTGCAAACTTGCTGCTGGCATTATTGCATCCATAAAACAATCTGGAATTCCTGGAACTCCAAATATCACGATTTAATCTCCCTCCGCCACTCTGTTGCGCAAAACCAATAACTCACATAAATTACACTCATTAAGATCCAACAAAATCAAAGAAATTCGAAACATAACATAATAAACGATGACTCTAACCGGAACACGAAACATTGAATCTCCATTCCGAATCGCCTCCTTAGCCACAACACTCAACTACAAACAACAAAAAGCCAAAAGATATAACACAAACAAAATCAAAATCAAAATAAACAGGCAGACAAGTATATATGGAGAGAAAGAGATAGTACGGAGTCACTGCGGTGGAACTGATCCGAATCCATAGGCGTCGGAGCGAGAAGGGAAAGGAGAGCGAAGAGGAAGAGAATAGCACCGGAGATTGAGGAGATCACCGGGTACAAAGACCGGAGGCGGTGGTAATACTGGAAACGACGCCGCGGGAAAGCCATTCCAATGGACGGGCGGTGACCGCCGCGCTTCCTCCTATCTCTCTCTCCAAACAAATCTGCGAGAGAGAGGTTCCGGATCTCCGCTATAACTCCGACATTGGCATTACGAGATTGACGCAGGAAGAAAAGCCACCTGGAAATTAACGGAATCCCAGCTGGATGGGTTGGGTTGGGCTGCGGTGGCTGTGCAGACTTTTTCGATCCAAGCTAACGTTCTGGAGTTACAGGATTAGTTATGGCAAAAATACCGAACGCCAAATCTATGTCTTATAACTTTCATCTATCTATTTTCCGATAGAACTTTTTACACCTTAGACAACCCTGCCCCTAACCGTGTGTCAATCACAATCACAATCACAAATCACAATTATCTGATTAATATTCTCAAACCACCTAAATTTAGTGATTACCCTTTTTTTTTTAATGAAAAATAAGAAAAGCTGAATTTAATTCGGATATAAACAGAGCAAGATAAGAGATGAAAGATAATTTGAATCGTATAACATATAGATGGAATGAGATAAGAGATAATTATCTATGCTATCAAGATAAAAAAAATATATCTAATTAGTATTTTTTTAATGTACAATTATCTAAGTATTATAGTGTTAAAAACGCTAATAAAGAGTAAATTCAACTTTATGCCCAAAACTTTTGAGTGGTTTTATTTTTTATTTTATTATTATCTTGAGTTGTATAATGTAAATTAATATTTTTTTATTTTTTAATTAATTTTTTCTTGTATATTATACAATTTAAATTTAAAATATTTTAATTTTATGAGAAATAAATTATTATTAAATTATTTAAATTGTAAGTAATTTTAAATTTTATAATAGTTTTAGAAAATACCTTCAATTTTTAATTTTTTTTATCTCCTTACAATTATATCTCAATTTTTTATTTTAAGAATCTAAATAAGAATCTCAATTTTTGTAAAGAAAGATGTTAAATTGAGTATGATAGATTCATTTTGATTTTCATTTTCTAAATGTTTTTTCTTTCATGCAAGTGTTCTTATTGGCATTGACGTGGACGACAATTTTTTTTTTAAATTATGAAATTGGAATATATATATATATTTTTTTACATATTACAATTTGAGAAAGAAGAATTCAAAATCTAACTCTAAAACTGAAGATGTATTTTACAAAAAAATATATAATTATTAGATCACGAAAATCAGATGTGAAATTAAAAATTCATCTCTGTAATGATAAAAAAAACAGATTCATTTTTATGAAAAAGGAAAGAATTACATCATTGTGAAAAAACTCAAAGAAAAAAAAACTTGGAAAGTTATTTAATCGAACTTCATCCCTTGTAGAAGAAAGCCCATGTTGATTAAGCGTCTAATACATCGCGAGAAAAAAAAAAAAAAAAAAAAAAAAAAAAAAAAATAAATATAGGTGCAAATGTCATTGATTACATCTATTATCAAATTAGAAGAGAAGACAGCAATATACGTTACCCATCAATTCTTAAAAGAAATATTTTTGTTTGGACCTCAATTCTTAGAAGAATTGAAGTGAGACAATTTCAATAACACCAAGCAACTAAAGTCTCCCATGCATGATTAGGATATAAGAACAAACAACATTTCATAAAAGCACTTTATCCATAAGCTAGCACTAGCATGTTCCCTTACAATTCCTCCCAAAGCAACTAATGACCATTTAGCTGAATGGAAATGAAAACTAGCACTCAAAGGATGTAACTTAATTGGTAAAGCATTGTTTTTCACTTATTGATTAAAATTTAATTTTTTTATAAAATTCATAATTTTAACATGAATGTCATATTTTTTTATTATACTAAATAAAAATTAATTTTGAGATATATACAAACTTTTTCAAGAATATCCTGCTACTTAAAATAGAAAAGAAAAGAAATGATTAAGGACATTTTTTTTATTGAAAACTAATTAAAAATATATTTAGCAGTGTGTAAAAAATACGCCTAGGTGATACTATTCCACCCGCATCAACCTAGACTTTAGGTAATGTCATTCCTCTCGTAAAAATTCAATATGGTTTGCATCATCCAGATCAATTAAGTATACTCAAACACTATTAGGTGTGTTTAATGACATTTAAAGTACTTGAGCAAATGCTTTTTATTAATTTTTTAACTTAATGAAACGATATCGTTCAATTTATTATAAAAAATTATATTAAAAAAACATTAAATACCAAATAATTCTCTTAAATTCTACTCTTTAGACATAATAATGAATAAAAAAACTTTAATTTTTTTATTTATTTTATAATTTTTAAAATTGTTTTACATTTTTTTCTTATTCTCTTAAAATTATATCAAAAAATTATTATTAAAAAAAAAAAGACTGCTTAATCCGCTTAAGCACCATCTAAGTATCTATACACTCTAGGCTCTAGTTTGTGGGAAACCGTTCACCATTACGTAACGCTTTCTCGCAAGTTTGATATATAATTTGAGAAAAGGATAAAAAAAATTTAAAATTTTTCTATTTGATTAGAAAAAATTTTGGGAGGTAATGGAAGGCAGAGAAGCAGAGTTCTCTATTTTACTTAATTTAATTTTAATTAATGCACCTATTGAAATAAAAAATAAATAAAAAAGTAGAAATATATTCAATCCTTCAATTTCATTTTCTTTCATTCCCTCAAATCAAACATAAAAACCATAAAAAAAAAAAGAAAAAAAGAAAAAAAGAAGGCAGTTTATAGCAAACATGTAGGTACCGTGAAGGTTTAAAGGAAAATCCTGACCGTACGGTCCTTAGAGCAGTTATCCTCTATGCAGCAGAACACTTTCTTCTCCTAGAACTCAACTCCACTCTCGTGAAGAACAAACCCTCATATCTGGGAACTGTCGCAGACTCGTTAACTGCGAAACTGTAGAGATTGTAAACTTTTTTGGGCATTTATTATTTTCATATTTTGCAGTGAAAAAGTGAGTAAGAATTCTTCCAGGGAGATAAGATGAATTCTTTGACACTAAAGCCCTCTTCCTTCGTCTTGCAATCTTCTTCTACAGTCCTCCGGCCGTCATCTGGGCGAAATCTGTGTGTTCCGTCAGTTAGCTTCCCGGGGAGAAAGCTTGGGAGTAAGGGAAAATTGGGTTTGAGAGTTACAGCTTACGATTCCTCCAAAAACGGTGACCCTTCTAATTCCAATGGCGATTCCAAGCTTCCAAACGGCTCTCTGGTACCTTTCTCTGACTCTCTCTAGATACATATTACATACACTTGCGTTGCTTCAATTTTGGTGGTATTGGGATTTTGGGATTATTTTATTTTATTTTTATTTTTATTTTTATTTTTATAAACTCTAGAATGAATTCAACAGCCCAAGAGCAGGAGGGACATTCTATTGGAGTATGTCAAAAATGTGCAGCCAGAGTTTATGGAATTGTTCGTGAAAAGGGCACCCCAACAGGTTTGATTTTGTTTCCCTTGTTATGTTTATCAATGGAATGCTGGGAATGTGATTTTTTTATGTGTCTGATTTGTTTAGGTTGTTGATGCAATGCGCCAAACAGTGACAAACATGATTGGAACATTGCCCCCTCAATTTTTTGCTGTGACGGTCACTACTGTAAGTAGATTATGGTTTTAAAGATGACTGCTTTTTAAGCTTATTTGTTTCGCTTTAGTGGTGTTTTTGGTAATTGGGATTGCTTGGATGTTCTTTTAGGTGGCTGAAAATCTCGCACAATTAATGTACAGCGTTATGATGACTGGGTATATGTTTAAGAATGCACAATATAGACTAGAATTGCAGCAGAGTTTAGAGCAGGCTGCTCTTCCAGATGCACAAGAGAAAGACAAAGAGGTAATTCTTTCCCTATCTTTCCCCTTGAATCAAAATGTCTTCCAATTATTTTCCAGAAGTTTATAGTGTTGTATGCTGATTGAGGCTGTATAATTCTATAGCATAGTATTAGATGTGATGAATTTAAATTATTCTTATCCAGCTTCAAGATTAATTTGCATTAGTTTGAGATTCAATTAATTAACCTAAAGATTAACATGTGGTGTTGACAATTATGTCTTCGGTACTGTCAATAGGTTTGCAATGCTGTTCATTCTTGTCTAGACAGTATTTAACATAAAGGCATGATGTTGTCTCAGATAATAATACCACCGGTCATGAATGTGTCATCCAAATTCATTGCATATTCTTTTGTATTTAGGGTATACTTTTTAACCCTAAGAAAATCAAACTTGTAATTCTCTTTGATTCTTTGTTGAAATTCTTGTATGCCATGCTCTTATCAATTGTGATCTATTGTTGGTTTACAAAAACTGGCTGCATATTGTATGCTTATGGGAAAAAGCCTGTTCTCTTTTTTGGTATTTTGTTAGCATGTTTCCGTTCTTGTGAGTTACTGGCCAATGTTTCTTTCTCACAATGATGAGCTCAGTATCTACATTGGCAACTGTATGGGAAACCTTACTACCCATCATTGCAGGACCCACCTGACTATGCACCTGGGACACAAAAGAATGTATCTGGTGAAGTTATCAGATGGAATAATGTTTCTGGCCCTGAGAGAATAGATGCTAAGAAGTACATAGAGTTACTAGAAGCTGAGATTGAGGAACTGAATTGTCAAGTTGGTAGAAAAACAGCAAATGGGCAAAATGAGATATTGGAATATCTCAAGTCTCTTGAGCCACAAAATCTGAAGGTACACAAAGCTATTTACTTTATATTTTTATTTTATGTTATATCTTGATCACCTGTCTTGTCTTTAGTTGACACTTGACAGTTGATTTTAGTATTTCTGCTTCCCTAAATTAATTGACTCTAGTGGGAGCTGCTGGTTAGGTTTAGATATTTTGAACTCAAATTATCTGTTGTTCTAGGAATTGACTAGTAGTGCTGGAGAGGATGCTGTGCTCGCAATGAATACATTCATTAAGCGTCTTCTGGCCGTTTCAGATCCTGGCCAAATGAAGGTTTGTCTATTTTCCTCCTTGGTATTTATTGTTATTGTTTTTCTTTGTTCATCTGTTCTGTTTATTTTTGACATTGAGGTTTGAATTTTCATAATTTACTTGTTTGATCAAACAATAATTCTAAGATTTCCAAAATTATGCTCATTTTATCAAATCTGTACGTAAAACCATACTGCTCCGAAACACATTGAAAATAGCTTCGTTCTTGAATGCCAGTGAAGAAAAAAAAAAAACCCTTCTTGACTGAAGAAATGACCATATTCTGAGTTATAATGATCTTGCTTAGGAACCCTCCCATTCCCATTTTATTTGACATTTGATTTGTTTATCTTAAATTCTGTTATCTGTGTCACAGACAAGTGTAACAGAGACTAGTGCCCCGGAACTTGCGAAGCTGCTTTATTGGCTCATGGTGGTCGGGTACGGTATCCGTAATATCGAAGTCCGTTTTGACATGGAAAGAGTACTTGGCACTCCTCCAAAGCTTGCAGAGTTGCCTCCGGGAGAAAACATCTAGACACTTTGCAGAACCTAGAAATGGGTAGCCAGGTTGGAGCATGATCTGAATGCTGCCTTATGCATAAAGTTAGGAAAGGGCTAGTACTTTACTTTCTCAATTGTTCAAAGAATCAAAAGGTAGAAATATTTTCTCAATGCTCTAAATGGTTGGCATTTTAGACTTAAGCATTTCATTTCATTTGTATACTGCTTGCGTTTTATGAAGAACGAGCAGAAGCTTTTGATCAATACAACGTTTCTAAGACTGGGCAAAATATTGACGATCATAAAATAGGGCATGCAATGTAAAAGTATTAATTAATATTTTTTATTTTTTGAATTGGCAAAATGTTTTTGTTAATTAAAATTGTTACAATCAAAGGAAATGTCAATTGAGCCTTTTTGGTTTTCATATCTCCTGCCAGTTTGACTGAACCACCAAACCGTTGAAATCCAACCTTTCTATTGGGAGCCCAATTCAGTTCCCCCTATCGATTAAGTACTTTAATTTACTGAGTGTCAACTAACTAGTGCTCCCAGAGACACTGAAGAATTGGCTTTTGTCTTCCACTTAGTCCCATGCTAACCCAAAATGACGGGTTGAAAAAGGAGGTACTTCGCGGCAAACATTCCCATGATAGCTTTGAGTCAGATGCAGACTTGAGCTTTGGGCAAGCTGGCTGAAGAAAAAATTACAGCATGATTTCATCAGGAGCAGTCAGAGCAGAGTCAAATATTTTACAAACGAAACAGGGGTAGTCCGTTCCAATCTCACAGCTTTTGCTGTTATTGAGGGAGCAATTGTGGGACATTAGCATCATTCTTGATCAGCAAGTAGAGTCAATTATCGCCACTGGCTCCAGCTATCAGCTTCAGTTTTAGTAGCTGGACCAAACAAGCCCCAAAGCTCTTGGGGTGAATTTCCTTAACGCTGGCCAAAAAAGGTATCATGCTTTGATACCCTACAAGACTTACTTCTTGCTTCATGGTTATTTGTGAGTCTTCTAGCCCATGGACTTTCATTCGGTGACCAAGAAATTGGAAACCCTAGCATTGCACACCATCTTAAATTCAAAAGGGCAGCAGCAAGATTTTCTTCAGAATCTTTGAAAAATTGGAGTATCAGCAACTCAGCTTCTGAGTCTTCAGAGAGGATGAAATCATCCTCAAATAACATTTTAATTTCTTGACGAGTGCTATCTTCTTCAGAAATCATTCGCATGCTTAAAACCTGCAAAGCTTCCACAGCTGTGCTGTGAAACTCACGGTCAACATATGCAGAAAACACATAGCAGCAGGTTGATGGATCTGGCTGGACTTTCTCTTGATGCATAAGCTCTATAATAAGCTCGATTATATCAATCCTTCCCTGATCCAGTCATTAAAAAACCCAAAGTTAAATTAATAAATTTTTGAGGAATATGCCCAAGTATGATTAAAATTGAACTAAAATGCCTTCAGAAATAAGTGCTCAAGGAGGACAAAAATGAAATAAACAGGAAAATAGTAGATATTGGCACATCCAATAATCTGTCTATGGAAGATGGTCGGGTAAACTAATGATTTTGATAACTAGGTTAATCTTTCCAGCATAGTCATCATAGACGCAACAAGTGGCAAATTGTATTCTTCGCACATACTTTATAGCTCATACGATATTATGTTTTAAGGGAAAACTTGCTTGTTCAAGAATACAGCAAGCAAACCTACTTTAGAAAGGTACACTTCTGCTGGAGATTACATGGCATTTCCTTTATGCAAGTAGCTAGGGCACTTGGGAGGCCCATGGGAAAAAATGTAATGGGTGTGTATGTAGTATGTGTCTACAAAAAACTAGAGAGAACCAGACTGGTGAAAATTCTTGAGGACAGTTATGCCCATGACCCTAAGAAAAATGATCCACAATCTCTCCTCAGAGTGAACATATGCAAAAACCTGCTGATGCATTAACAGATCATTCTTACAAGACAAATTTGCATTCAAGAATGGATGAAGATGACAGCCATAATCCTCTTTTATATATATATATATATATATATATTCACAATCTCTGAACTAAACTATTTGAGAGAGAAAGAGGGAGGTACCTTGTCGCAAGCCTTTTTAAGAAAGGTATTAAACAACAGTACATCAAGTTGATTCCCTTCTAAGATTGCTTGATCCAAAAGATGCAATGCTTCATCAAAATTCTCAAAATCTAACAGGACCTGTCAGATGATAAACTCAAGAATCAAGAATTAAAGAACCAAATGCTTCATCAGCATTAATAATAGCTGCCCCTCCCATATAATGTCAGTGAAGGTATCAGGTTTGATTAGGAATCAGAATTGCAAATAGGTAGTTCCCCACGTTAGACCAAGTCTTAAGTTTTTCTAGATTGCAAGCTAACTATTGAAATTTAGACATCCACACATTAATGAAACAAGTTTGTGTATTTGGCTCAGGATCACAGCAAACATTTATATAAAATTATTTGGGAAATCAAAAATGATTTTACCAAATTCCTCTCTTTCTGTCATGTGCACTTTATAACAGCAGTTTTTTACTTTACAAATGAATTTAGTGATTGGATGACAGGCACTATGAAAATACCTTCATTAGAGCAGTATATGTTGTTGTTTGTGGATAAAATCCATCACGCACCATCATTGAGACTAGTGCACAAGCAGACTTGAAGCAATTAATATAGCTACAGCAATCAATCATTATATTGTAAGTTGATGCATCTGGCTGGACACCACATGATTTCATACTTTTAAATATTTTTATCGCCATGTGATTCTGCATGTAGAAGTAAGAGAAAATTCATAAACAAATGTCACAAATTAAACAATCAACCCATGAAGTAATAATTAAAATATAAACTATGGTGTGGAAAGAACTCACTTCTCCGGCCTCAACCAGTGATTGCAAAACTGTGTTATATGCAGGTATGCCAAAGTTAGTATCAGTATGATAGAAAAGGTCCTCCGCGAGATGTAAATATTGAAGCAACTCTCTTATCATGCCCTCCGCTCCAAGGGCTTTAAGCTGAAGAAGACAGCATGAAGTGGCATGATTCAATTAAGGCAATAATATTCAAAATAAATAAAAAGCAGAGTAAATTTAAATGACAATGATGGGGCATTTCCATGAGAAAATATTGAAAAAAAAAAAGGGCTTACGATCTGCAATTTTGTGAGAAAAGAATTTTTCTTGTTCTTGATTAACTTAGGATTAAGAGCTAAAAGAATCCTAAATCATGTCCGCTGGGAGCATACAAGTTCAAACTGACTGCAACACCAGTGTAATTATTGTTGTATGCTTAAAACCCCAGGGGCACACACAGTGAATACCATCATTAACAAAAGGCATACATTCTGTGTCAATCCCATAGATTCAGCTCTCAGTAAATGCCATACTAAGCATATTTGATATATGAAATATAAGAAAGTATAAGATCTTGACCACAGTAGCTGCTGTCCTACCAGTAATATTTTGCACAGAAGCAAACTTAAAAGAAACATCAAGCACATGAAAGTATATGAAACTAAAAGCAAACTCCAACCATAAAAGCAGTTAACTCAAATTGGTAATTATCCATGTAATAAAAGGAATGTTACATATAAGGCAGGAAATTACCAAGTTCTTCATTGATAAAGGGCTATGCTGGACACCATTTTTTGCCATATCCATTTCTATAGCTTTTATCCTCTTAGCTGAGTCTACCTGTGACAACATATTGCCCTTTTCATATGGAGCATTGACACTACCGAACAGTGAAAACAGGAGTGCGTATGTCCTAGTATCTGGCTTAACTTTCAGTTCCTGCATTTTTGCAAATGTCCTAACAGCACGTTCAGGCTGATCCTGGAAAATTAAAGAAATAAGATTTTGCAATGATGCAGCTGACAAGAAAATCTCAAGAGCATGAGAAGTAAAGTGCTAATGAGCAAATTAATCCCTTCTCTTTCCTCTTGCTAGTCTACAATCAGATTAACAACAACAACAGGCAGTCTCTAAACAAAGATTGGACAGAGAGTCACCAAGGTAATGGTCGAAGAAGCATTTTAAGTTCAGCTTTATGTGGCTTTTGAATAGTATATATATATAGGCCTCTAAGCACAATGCATAATAAAGCTGATGTGCTATGCAATGTCTTGTTATCAAGCAGCTTACCAAGGTATCGCATGCTTCAAGAAAAGCATTATAAGGGTATGCATATGGACATTTAGAAATTTGATCAAGCAGGGCTTCAGCTAAATCAAGTTCTAAGGCTTTACTGCATTGCACAGAAAGGGCTGCAAGAGTTGAATTATGTGGCTTCATCTTCCTCTCTTGCATCTCTTCTAACTGGAGAAAATCAAGGCCAAAAATGGAAAACTTTCAGCCCAAGAGGAAACGTAGGGCATTGAACATAATTAGTGGGGACAAAAAACAAATACAACCTACCATTTCCATGCCCGCATTGAAACCTCTTGCTGTAGTAACTGCTCTTACAAAGCCATTATATGCATATTGTGTTGGTTGCAATCCAAGACTTTGCATCTAGAATGATATTAAGAGCATAGTCATCACTCCAGAAAGACCAGATACAATGAAATAAAAACAGGTTATGATGATTCAATTTAGAAGTGGGTGAATTTACTTTCATAGTTTTCACCACAAGATGTTATGTCCTAGGGTAATTAAAAATAGAATGACTATTGCAAACTCACAAATCTCAAGTCTTAATTTATGACGGTTTCACAGGAAAACTAAAAGATTCTGGATGAGAGAGAGAGAGGCCTTCATACCTGCAGCAATAATTGCTCTGCTAGTCCACACTTTTTAGCGTTTGCACAAGCATGTATTACATCACCAAAGGACCACCTCAGGAGCTTCACAGGCATGCTCTCATAGTTATTCAGCAAGCTTAGTATACCAGTAGCATTTGAAGCATCTCTGCTTACCACATCAGAAACAGTACCTTGTTCTGTGATACAGGCATCAGTATCCAATTTCCTAGAAAGAGAATGCTCAGTCTCTTCAAAGTTCACTTTCTGTGACTGTAATTCAACTTCTGATGGTATAGGAATGTCCAGTCCTTTAGAATATAAGCTTCCTTTGGCAGTCTTGTTGAAGAAAAACTTCCCACTGAGGGCTAAAGTCACCATATGTTGCAAAGTTTCATATGCAGATTCCAAATCTTTTAACCTTAAAAAGGAACAAATGAACTTCCTGAGAGAAAATATGTTCGCATTATAGTGTTTTATATAGTCCTGCCAAATTTCACGCACTGCAGAGAGATTTTGCTGCCAAACTGCAAGCTAAAAGTAATTGGGAGGAAATGGAGAAGGAGAAGGGGGGAAAAAAGTAAGATTAATCATAATTCAGAATTATCATTCAATAGCCAAGATGAATCCTTAGACTCCTAAACCATAAATTGATGAGAAAACCAAACCTTAAGAAAAGCTAGTTGCTCAATTACTCAGTCCTAACAAGCTGACTCTAATATTCTGAATCCAAAATCAACACACTTTACACACCTTGAGAAGCACTATATATGTAATTTCATTCTTCCCCACCATTTGTTGGTCCATCAAATCCAAACAGCGAGCAGCATGACTTATACTTTGCATTTTTACACAGGCTGCCAAGAAGCAGTTATAAATGCGCAGAGCATGAGAGAGGCCATGGTTTTCCCCAAGAAACTTAATGAAGTCATACGCCTAAACAAAGTACAAGAAGAAAGGGAAAAAGAACTTAGTTCATCCTGGTAGCGGTTGAGACAATCAGACAAACAAAGTTGCAATCATCAACTAGCACACATATAACAGGAGTTATGCCAATGGTAACTCATTTATGATTGCAAGCAGCAACTATCAGCATTACATAGAAATATGCTCAAGATTACCATGAACCAAGTAGTTTTAGTTGATGCTCAAGAACATAGGGATAACTGCATTTCCATCACTAAATAATTTAATCATTTAAAATGGACAACAAATGATTAAAGATCCTCACCAAAAAAACTGATTAAAACATCACTGAAGTTGAAAATGAAAAGAAGTATTTATTAATATTTATATATAAAATGCTTAATACCTCCTCCAAATAACCTGCCCTACAAAGTGCATGCATCAGAAGTAGGCAGCACATGTCATTCAAGCCAATATCCTTTTCCTCCATTAATCTCCATGTCTCCATGACAAACTATATACAAAAAAGGGGCATTACAAAACAAGTGAGTGTTTAGCAAGTTTGAGAAAATGTTGTAAATCTAGACAACAGACACATGCAAATTGAAATGTAAGTGTGCAGCTAGACTTAAAAAATTCAATGAGGTACAACTTACCAAAGGATCAGGCTTATTAGCACAGTACTTAAGAATATAAACAAAATCCTCAACTCTTAGAGACTGACTTCCATTGCCAAAAGCTAAAAGCAGATTAGAAGCTTCCCTTCTCTGGCCCTGGTGAAGTGCTTTGACAATTTGAGCCTGCAAGGATTTAGCAGTGGACTCTTGTCCATACCCTGAATATGAAGGACCTGAATCCAAAACCTCAATCAATTTGTGAACTTCACTCGAGACTTAGTTCCTTTGCAAAAATCTACATACTCCAGAAATCATCTAAACAGATTTTTTTTTTTTTAAAATGAAGATTGAGATTAGTACCACTAATAGTTGTAACAGGTCTACATGATTCCAGTTTCTCCTTCACATGTCTTCGTCCCTGTAACACAATTCAGTGTTAAACAGCAGGTATGAAGTATGAACTCAAAATAAGAACAAAAAAAATAGAGTTCGTCATGGCCAATCCCTTCTGAAGCTAAAATCTAACAAAAGGTTGAAACCAGAAGAAAATTAAGAGACTACAACGTACATTATCACTGGATTTGAATTTAAATAAAGCATCTGCAACTGATCGCAACCTTGCTCTGTAACTTCACTACCAAGAAATTTCAGCGATGAACGCATTTGAAAAATTTCAACAAAGAAGCCAAAAAAACAGAAGTTGGAGAACAAATTCTACTTACACAGGTCTGTGCATCTGGATGAAGCTTGAGATTACAGATATCTTCTGCTGCTTAGTGTTTAAGAATATCCAAGAAACAATTTCAACATTCAATCCTCCTAATCAGAACAACAAAATTGCACAAATCAAAACTAGACCAATTAATTAGGGCACAAACTATAAGTACTTGCCTTTCATTCAATAACAACATGATAGAAATCAACTCATATTCAATAAATTCAATTTCACACTGAAACTATTTTGCATACCTATTTTCGAATGGAAAGAAACATGCCCGACACACACAGTGCTTCTTGGATGCAGAAGAGAAGAGCTAGAAGCCAAACGGGCTGTTTGGTTTGTTTCGGCCATGAGATTCGGTTTGTTGTTAGCTGCTCGGAACGGTTCATTGCTGCCATAGACAAACGGGCTGCTAGATACGAGCCTAGTTTGGTTTGATTGGAAAGTTTGATGCCAAGCCCAAGTTTGTCAACGAAGCCCGAGCTTCTAAAGCCCCAAACTATGCTCGTAACAAACTTTGAATTTCTGCCCAATGAAATCCAATTTCTTTCTCTTTTCTTCGATTTGGTCCCCTTTTTCTGGTGTCTTTTCTCTTTTTCCCCTCTCCCAGTATATTTTTCTTGCAAATAAGTCCTAAAGTAAATAAATAAAACATTTCCAATTACAAGCATATTTTTTGTCATTTTTAATATTTTTATGTTTTGTCTTGTTATTAACTTTTTGTGAGTTTTTATTGGTAGTTATTATACATATTACTTAAAACCAGAAGATATTATTAGGACTAGAAAGTTAATAAGAAATTATTAAAGAGAAAAGAGAAAAGAGAAAAGAGAAAAGAGAAAATTATGTCTTATCGGTATTAAAAATATCAAAATGTTTAATAATAAATATATAATAAATTTGATAAAATTAAAATTTATATTATATGTCATATATTTAATAGTTATGATTGGATGTTCTAATATTTGATGTCTTGATTTTTCTTTTTCCTATTAGTAAATTACTCATCATTTTTTCCCGAGAATTGAACATTTATTCTTATCATAGTGTTTAAAAAGAATATTTTGTGACGCATGCATACTTCATCCTCAAACTTAATTTTTATAATCATCTTCATAAAAAAAAAAAAAAAATCATTGACCGATTTGTCATTTTCTTCCAACTAGACAGAGCTTGGGTGACTTTGCATGAGGACATACCATGTTCGAACAAAATAAATCCAAAAAAGGCTTAACCATATTATCACCCACTAATTTTAGAATTTTGATTTAAAGTTAAGTTTCAAATGTTGAACTCCCTTGCTAATAAAAAAAAAAATAATAATAACTTTTTATTATTTTTATATAATTTTATGTGTTATTTAAATAATTACTTATTTATTTATTTAAAATTTTAATATTATATGCATTTATTTATTTAGTGATATATAAAAATTACAAAAAAAAAATTGGTCCTATATCACTAAAAACCAAAAAAAGAAAAAAAGAGAGATCTTCGCACCCCTTCCTTTTTATATAGGTTAAAACCCCTTTTTGGTCCTTAAACTATTATACGGAACCCCAATTTGGTCCCTGAACTAAAAAAATCCCTGATTTGGTCCCTACTGTTTACCATTTTTACCCCGATTTGGTTCTTCCGTTAAAAATCTAGTGACATGTGCTGTTAACTAACAGGAACATGATGACATGTCATCTAATAATCCACGTGGAAGATAATATAGTCAAAAAGTGATGACGTGGAAAAAATAATAATATAAAAAAATATTATGAAAAATAAAATTTAAATTTTTTTCTCTTTTTT